TATATATATATATATATATATATATATATATATATATATATACACATACATACATACACACATCATACAACATACATACACAATCATACATACATATATACACACACTGTACCTACCTCTTTTGGAGCGCAACTTTCGACACTCCTGCGAAGAGGAAGACGCCTCTTCTTCTTCCTCGTCCATCGAATTCTAAGTTTGCTGCTTCATTGCCAACGTCAACTTTGTCACAACTCTTACTGTGCTACATCATCGTTGTCATTGTCATTCGTACTATTTACCGCAAAGGAGAAAGGGTGTTTGGTACGAACCACGGACGGCCTCTGGAGAGATTCTGGATTTATTGGTGGCAAGACAACCCCAAACGCGGTTTACCATGAGTTCGCGTAATATACCTTCGGATAAAGTGAGTAATTAATATTTTTCTTCGTTATTATTTATATTCTTTCATTTACATTTTTATATGTGTCATATGTGCTAATCTATCTCTACTTTACACTCGTAACACGTCTCCTCATCTTTCTTCGAACATGTCGACAGTACCCGCCCCTTCACTCTACCCCCTCTCTCCTCTCATTAAAGTCCTTTTCTATGTCCTTTAATTTATTCTCTTTCAAAGATACATATTCTATCTTTTCGTAGTGTCATATTTTGTTCACCTCGACTTTACTCCGTTCTATATTTCCCTCTCTTTTTATCTTCTTTTCCCTTCTCCTACATATATCCGTCTCCCTCTCTTCTCTCCTCCATCTCTTTCTCTCTCCCTCTCTTTCTCTCTCTCTCTCTCTTTTCGTTCGAAGGTCACCGAGCATCAAGGGAAGAGAAGAAAATTGTTTATGCGAAAAAACGACACCTGCTACAACAGATGCATTTTTTCTTTATGCAATTTAAGTATTACCCTGCCTACTTCTTTCTTTCTCTCTTTCTCTCTCTCTCTCTCTCTCTCTTTCTCTCTCACTCGTTTTTTAATGTTTTTTTTTTTCGAATTTTAACATGGTCCTACCCCTATGACTTTAACGTTCGCGCCGTTATTTCACCGGATGTCTCCTATCGTGACCTTATTTATCTCTCTCTACTCGCTTTCTCCAGAATGACGTTTATATATATGTATATATACACAGTGCGGATCCTCGACGGAAAAAGTATTCGTGATATACCCGATTCGCGAAAGGAGTATTATTACAGACGCTCGTGTGTGCGAGGAAGATAAAAGTCAAGAGAAATGGGCGAAGTAAAAGAGTAAAAGAAAAAAAAAGAGAGAGAGAGAGAAAGATAGAGAAAGAAAGAGATGATTAAATTATGAATATATGCATGCAGAAAATAGTATGAATTTTCTCGTAATTCTTTAACTTTTTTTTATATATATATATATAGTATATAATATGTTTATGAATGGGTTGAAAATTTTTGAGCCTAACATAGAAACTTTTTTATCGGTCAAATTTACTTTTTTTTAAAAAAACAAACAAAAATATAAATAAGAGTTATTTTTTGATACTTAAAACTTTTCAACCCATCTTATAGAATGTTATATATTCTATAGGATATTTAAGCATTGTATATAATGCCCGGCGTTTTTAGACAATGCATGAAATATGAGAATTATTACAAACTTTCTTTAGACATTGTATATAATACTTAGGCATTTTATAGAATGACAAATGCTATTTAAACAAAGTATGAAAAAAGTTCCTGATAAGGCTATTATGTAAATGATGTGCATTCCTTAAAAATACAAATGTTATTTTGAATAAAAATACAAATGTTATTTTTTGAAAAAGTAATGGGTGATGTGATATTCGAAACGAATCGGAGATGTACTTCATACTTTGTCAGTTTCTCATTTGGCATTCTATAGAATGCCTAGCACATGTGTGAAATATGAATACATTTCATAAATTGTCGGTTAGTTTTAGGCATTATATACAATGCTGGATTTTAATCTTTACCGGTAGCATATATATATACTGGGTAATTCAATAAATGTTATCACCTTTTTATGTTCATTATTTTTGGTTTAATGGAAAAAAATGCTCTGAGCAAAGTTGCACCATTTCAAGGGACACATCCGATGGTCTATTTTTATTAGATTCAAAATAAACGATTTTCTATTTTTCCATATAATTTTTTTTTTTTTTTTTTTAATTAATTCCTCGTATTATTGCGAAGAGAAAAATTGGAGAGAACACGGTCAATGAAAGATTAGTTTGAGAGATAGGTGTTTTGAAAAATGTCGGGTGATTCACGTTAATGTGAATAAACGATATTTTTTTTTGGTCGAAGTCGGATAAAAATGTCGAAGAAAAAATGGTTCAAGGTCGACTATGTATACGCGATTGTATTTTTTTTCGCATTATTTAAGTACATATGATACGCTTTGTTACAATTATAGACATTAGATCATTAGATATGAACATATAGTGAGTCACAGGAGTATTTTTAACATCTTTGTTATTTTTAAACAATTTATATTTATTTTTAATGCAACGTTTCAAACAACGTTGTTTGTATTATCATTTATGTTAAATTATATTTGTCCATAAAAGAAACTATTTTTTTTGTAATAACAAAATTTATATAAATTTGAATAATACGAAAATGTACACATTTCTTTATAAGAAATTTAAAACTTCGCATTATAAGTGAGTATTAATTATTTAAAATTACCAGTGAGGTCGGGTACGAATATTCTTATGACTAACTGTATATGCGTTACATGTATATTATTTATTGTATACGATTAAAAAGAGTTTAAGACTTTATAACAACATTTTTACTTACGTACATTGGATCAATAAATCATTTCAAACATATTTGGAATAGTTGTTACTGTAAATTTCTAAAACATGAAACATAGGTGATATGTTAATAGTCTATTGTCAAAGAGGACATTCATTACTTATTTACAAGATACCGACGACAAAGACACTTAGTAATCAGATAGAAGCAGTCGTACAGTTATTTGTATTTTAAAATCATTTCAAAACTGCAAGTATAGTTTAGATAACTGAATAATTTATTTTACGCGATGATGAAACTTTATTTATCTATGCTATTTGTACTTACACTCAAGTCAACAGAATTGAAGAAACAAAATTTATTTTATGATTCATTCTGTAATATAAATTTTTATAATTTTTCTATTTAATCTGCTGTCATAATTACCGATATATATCACGTACATATATATTTGTGAATAGGTTTAAAAGTTTCGTGCTTAATTTTTTTTCTCGATCGAACACACATTTATTTAAATGCTTTATTTCTTTTTTGTCTAGGCTTAAAACTTTTCAACCTGAACCTAGTATATTTTTTATTTACATATAAAAATCATATCTCCTCATTTTTGTAATATTACTGTTCATTATCGAATCGATCAGATTTACGATCGATCGTCTATAATTGACGTATACTTACTTATTTTTGTATTTTTTTTTATTAGCCCTCATAAAAACTGTACGAAGTAGGGTAAACCTTCGCATCGTTTAAAAGCGATAAACTTCTCCGACGAGTTAATCCGATCGATATCAACATAATACGATATGTCCATTACGTTGCATCGAATGCTAGTCGAGTTTTATATCCCATTATAACTCGTGTTCTGACATTACCCACGCAGACGTGGCCTCGCGTTTTAATGTAATCCATGGGCATTTTTTCTTTTCTTTTCTTTTCTTTTTTTTTCTTTCTCTCAACAATTATTCTCCCGCTTTACTTTCCATCTAACTCCTTCATTTCATTCTTCCTCTTTTCTCATGTCAGTCTTTTCTCGAGATGGAAAAATGTTAGTTTTATTTTCAGTTGAAATATTCTCTTTCTCACTCACATTTTCTTTCTTTCTCTCTCTCTTTCTCTCTCTCTCTCTCTCTCGCTTTGACGCAGTTAAAATCGATTATCGCAACCGCAATGCGTGTTACCTACGACGTATGAACTGTTTCAACTTGTTATTTAATTGTTTTTAAATAATTATATCGAACACAAAGGTTACTTTCATTATTCATTTAAAGGATTATTAGTTTATGGGCGTTTTCCTAAATTAATCTCTTATAATTTATTAACTCGTACAGTTGTTATAACTATTATTATTATTATTATTATTATTAATACAGTTTGGAAAGATTTTGTTTCTATTATTTATTAATTTATAATCGTTGGGAAGATTAAAATATTTCAAAACTGAAGAAAGATCATAAATTTTATTTTTCTTTCTTTCTTACATTAAACTTACGTGTGAACAGATTGAACGAGGATAAAATGTCAAAGATAAAAAGCGATAAGAATAAAGAAGAAAATGTCAATATGTAAGTTTATATAGATAAACTATAATATAATTCCCTTTTCATAGGAAAAAGGAAGAAAGTTATGTACACTTATTAGATACATATGATGAAACTTAAACAATCCTGTTGTAAAAAAAAAAAAAAAAAATACAAAAAAAATACAAAAAACAAAATAGAAGAGACTCGGTGGGCCGTAAAAATGGATTCGATCGTTTTTCTCTAACTCAACCGATTCTCATTTCTATACCGTAGTCGTCCTAGTCGTTTGTAAAAGCATAGAAAAATATTGAGGGGTAGAAGAAGGTTTTGTTATCTTTCCATCGCTGGTATAGCATCAACAAAGAAAGAAATAGAAAGAGAGAGAGAGAGAGAGAGAGAAAAGGTAAAAAAGCTAATATCTAAGTCCTACTCTTCTTTAGTTATTTCGTTTTATTTAGCGATTCGACTCGGTAGAATCCTCATTTTCTCTTTTCTTTCACCTTATTCTCCGTTACATTGTCTTTTAGATCAATGAAAAGGATCGCTTAGACGAAACTAATTATGTGAAAGGAGGATGGAGTAGTACACGACAAAGCGATAGGTTTCTATCGAATCGAATACCATGTACAGACACGTTGTACTCAACGATTCACCCTACGGCATTATTCTATCGGAGACGATACGTTGCGTTACCTGGTCGCTTCGATTTTCTACCCCTCCTCCCCCTCTCGCTCTATCTTTTTTTCTTTTTTTCTCTCTCTCTCTCTTTCTCTTTCCATCTCTCCGTTTAGAATCCCTTTGATTTTACCTCTCATTGTATGACCGAGCGTTCCTGTAAAAACGTTCCGATATGTTTCCCTTCCTTTTGTATCAATCCTTTGTCTTTTTTCTCTACCTTTTTTCTTTTTTTTTTTTTTTCAATCCCTTTTTATCCCTTCGTAAATGCAACGTGATTTTTACGTAATGCGGACACACAGGTACATATTGGCGATGTTTATATTTTTGTCGTTTTGTTTCTTTTCTTCTTTTTTTTTCTTTTTATATAGATACTTATTTTGTATGTTAAGTAGAGTCGTATATAACATTCTATGTAAATGGGGTCATTTTGGTCAAGCGGCAAACACAAAGGAATAATAATATTTTTATG